TACTAAAGAAGTTTTCTAAACCTCAACCAAAAGTGCGGTCAACAACCACAAAACATAATTCATTTTGTATAATTAAACAATATATGTTAGTAAGGCAATGTTGCCCAAAGTTCTCATTAAGCGTTGGAGGATTATTTACTGGTTGGATCATGTAACATGGATGGGTAGAGCTGGATGCGTCAAAGAAATTGATATTCTAGCCTAGTAGGGGAGGAATAATGATATATTGGTGAGTTGATTTTGTATGTGTGTCCATGAGCTAGAAAACTATAATTTGTCGTCAATCTAAGGGTAAGTGTACCTTCTGTGTTCGTGCCAAAATTAGTTAAAAGCTTCATGTAAAGGTTGAAGTATTAAATCAATCTAGGATTCCTTCATTCAATGAATACGATCTTCCAAGGATGGGCTCGATGCACCCTCACTAACGTATAATGCTTATTTGGTAGAGAAAAAATTAAGCCTTGACATACTTAGTTAAGAGATTGTTTCGTACAATGATAAGTTTTGCAGTGAGAGGTTCTGTTATTGTGAGAATTATGAATATTTGTCATAAAATAAATATTCATAGAGATTGCAAAGAGAAGATTATTTTTCTCAGAGGAGACAAGTTTATTGTATGCTACAAAATTCTTCACAATAAAGAAAAGTAATAAGTCATAGTTTAATAAGAAAATTCAGTTCAAATTTTTATGTTGAAGATTTGAAAAGAAAATAATAATAATAAAAATACATGTCTACCCCAATCAAAATAGTTCATTATATAGTTGAAGTTATAAAATCTCACTGAGGTTCTAAGTTGGAGCATACACGATTATAAAATTATGAATATTTATTTGATATATTGTTATCCCAGATGGTGTATGATGACAATGTCAATAAATGACAAAATTTTGACAATTACACCGTTCAACTATCAATCAAACTATAATAGTCATACGTCAATAGTTGAGCTACAACAACCGCCTGTGGTGGTCAGTGACACTGCTGGTCATCGTCTTTCAGTTCTTTTTAACGAGTTCATACTTAGCTCTCAACTCTCATATTGCTATTTACATATTGAAAATGTCGTCTTCGTTTTGGTGTTCAGGAAGTGATACTCTAATAAATTTTGCTAAAATCTTAAAATACTCTTTCAAATACTCGTATTGATTCATTTGACCATATATCATTATTTCAATATCTAAATAATTAGTGGAGTACTCCATGGGGGCTCAACCTAAGATTTTACTAGACTTGTCGCTATTGATTTAAAAAATATTTTTTAAATTTTAAATTCGATTTCCGTATATAGAAAGTCAATATAGTTCAAAATTTAAAATATAAATAAATAAATAAAATACTAGAAGTAGTTGTACGTAGTGCTCTTACCATGTAGAATTTTCATGCCGTACCTACTTTTGTTTTTATGCGGACTATCAGCTTTGCAGCGGTGTCCGCAGAAAACTTTCTATGAAGTCATTTTCACCTAAGTGGCTCCCACGCGTGCAGGGTGAGCTATATAAACGAGCGTGGTGGTTACGCCATTGAGGGAGCTGCCGGAGCTCACATCGACGGCGCATGTCGAGCTCATCGTTTCCATATCCTGTAAATCTCTCGCTCGCTCTCTGTAGCCTTCCTCGTCCCCTTTCTCTTACACTCCGTCGCAGGAGGAGTTTCCCCGGCGGCGCAACTAGGATAATGGCGTCTTTAGAAGAGAAGAACCGTATAGCGAGAGTTGCATCGTCGATCCGCGTGATCCCAAACTTTCCCAAGCCAGGTAATTACATTTCTGAGTGGATTGTGAAGGTTTTGGTTTGGGTGGTTTGATTTCGGTTTTGATGAGTGTTTTTTGGTTGGGATGTAGGGGTTATGTTTCATGATATCACGACACTGCTGCTTGATCCCAAGGCGTTTCGGGATGCTGTGGACTTGTTCGTGGAGAGGTATAGGGATCAGCGGATTTCTGTTGTCGCGGGTAATTTTTTTGATTTGTTGCTGATGAATTTCTTCTTTTACTGTTCTTTTTTTGAGATTTCGTTTAGGCTTGAACGATGATGCTTTGCTGGGGTATGATTTAAGAGTTACTTTGCTTTTGAGGGGTGGGATTGAAGATCATGGTAAATGTTGTTTTAGGACATTTTAGCGAATTTTACGAACATTCATGCACCATATATGAATGGCCGTGTATACAGGACCTCTTGGTTGAAAACCTAAACTCTCAACCAGTAGCCTCGGGTTGCTTGTCTCGGTTAAATCAATCAAATCATTTTGCTAGCACGAACCAAGTTAAGAAGCTGGGAAGCCTTGAATTTGTTCTCTAAAAGCTTTAACTTGCCAAAAGAGGCATTCTTATAAAGTTGCCAATCAACTTTCCCTTGAGTATGTTAGAGTTGCCCGAAACTTGAAGTAGTCTAAATGAAGAGAACTAATCAAGAGAATTTAGCAATTGAATTCACTAAATCCTCCAAAGTTGCTTGCCCTCAAAATGAACTCACCAAGATAACTAAATAGAGAATTCACCAGAGCACATGCTTTCTCAAGAACTCATCCTTAACTTGGAAACTCATCAAGAGTTGCCCAAGTACTTTGAAACTTTCAGCCAACATGTTTTTGATATATTTTTATAGCAATCATAGTTAAGTTTTGTTATATAAATTTTTTTTTTGTATTACTCAAATGTATCCATTATTGCAGATCTGAACTTTAACATAAAACTATAAATAGGGGGTTAAAGGATGAGCTCAACACTTTCTTTCATATTCTGATTTACTCGTCACATAAATTATATATTCTAGATAGAGAAGCTTCTCTCCACTTTTTGCTTTTTCAATTTTTTTTTTCTTTAGGTTGGATATGCTTTTGTTTGGAGGGGTTTTGGTTTCATTCACAAAATATATTTGAATCCAACATTTTCTAAGAGGTCGTGTACCTGGATGATGCTTAGGATAATATAATAAGCCATGAAGTGTATGAAGCAAAGAGGTGCATGTGTAGAGAAACAAAATTTTGTAACTATCTACCAAGTTAAGCAAATTGAAGATCATCTACTAAGAATGAGTCAATAAATTTCAGAGCATTTCCAGAAAACTGCTCATTATATCCATTTTCTCTAAGAACACAACTCAATCATCTTTTGGCATCATTGAAAATCTTATAGTTTCTATATTCCTACTTCGAAGTCCATTGGTCGAATTTTGTAACTTCAACAAAGAAAGAACAACATTATCTCATCATCCCTAAGAAACTCTTTATTTGGCCCAATAGTTCCTTTTTTGTTCAAGTCATAGAAAGTCAACCTCCATCAAATTTCATGATGTTGATTTTCAAAGCAAAGCTTGTTGAGGCAAGGTAGACTCAACCAACCATGTTTTCCAGTTCAAACAATCTTCTCGCTATCAGTGGCATGATAAAATGCCCACTCTTGAAGAACTCAAGTTCGCAATATCATAGTGGTTCTTGTGACTTTCTCGTGGGAACATAAATTTCTCCTTAGAATTTACACAACTTTATTTTACATGATTTCTAGTGTGAAAGTTTTCTAAAGAGCTTATAGGCTCTATCTAAACTTGAGGTAAGAGCCAAACAAGTCCCTTCATCACTTCATTACTTAATTTGAGCATGAGATGTTGCACTCATTTAGTGCCTTAGAAGTGGTTTAGATATTCGTTGTGTTTTTGACATGAGAAATCATTGGATAAGTTATTAGAACTCACTAATATCCATATTAATGTGAAAGAATACAATAATTCTAAGGCTTCAACCTTAAAGAATTGTTATTTTGAAGCAAATTAAGATTTGCAGCATAATCAACATAATTGGCCAAACAAGCATGATGGCGATTGTAACACAACCAAGAGGACTCACCAAAGTGACTAGCACCAACATCAGCAATCGGATCACCTTCAAAATAAGTCTTTCTTGTTATAATGTTCATCCCAAACTTCTTAGTTGGCAACCATGTCTTAGTTTATGAGTGGACTTCTCTGACACTTGAGCACCAAAATCATAAGACCAACGTGAAATGTCCCAGTATCAATCAACCAACAAATTATGTACAATGATAGAAGTTTTATTGCATAGAGATTCCAAGTTTTCCTGTCGATAATCAAGGCTGAACAATCGTGGAAAGCATTCTTTCTAATATTCCCGGCTTCCGAAATACTTACATAAGTGTCAAATCATACCTAATCCTCTTGGATCTCAAGATTGCACTCCTATTTTAAAGTAAGGAGAAGTATATAAATGTTTTACATAGCCAAGCATGTTATCTCTAACTTTAATGCATATTTTTGCATCTTCTTATCATGAATGCAATATTCAAAGAACTTATTTCATTAGAAATCTTTTCTTTTATAATGTATTCTATGATTAGCAAAACTCTTGAAATATTTTATGAGGATCTTTTATCAACAATTGCCCGGTATTCCCTTGATCGTTTAGATTTGATAAGTTTCATTCTTGCTATAATAATGTTATTCCTAATTCCTCTTCAAGTTTCTTGGTAATATTGAGAAGCTATCATGAAGTTTTTACTCATCTTTTAGCCTAGCATTTTTTTTCAAAATAAGCATGTTTGAGTAGAAGCTAGATATCAACGATCTCTATTTAGTCCTATTCTACCTCTTCTCTAACATCAATTTTTTTTCCATGAGAACATGTCTTTTAAAGAAACCTATGTATGCTGTGAACATTTAGCTGAAATTAATCACAAAGGAAAAGAAAGTTGCCCTTTCTTCAAAGCTAAATACAAAATATTGCCTTAACCTCAATTTCCATTTCATCAATAATTAAAAATTTAAAAACCTTGATAAATATGCCGATGCGCTTCTCATCATCGATCAATCTATTTGGCTTTCTTCCTAGCAATTCAATTCTCATAGCTAATCTACTCATATTGCTCTAGTACTTGCTATGACTTATTTGGCCACCACAATGATTTCATTATCTTATCCATGGAATTACTCAGGGAAAACTATCACCATTTGAATATGGTTGGATTATAAGTGTACGTGTCATTTTTTATATAACCTTGCTCGACTTCTCTCAGGTGGCACGTGTTCTCTCATTTCATTTTTTTCCCTCCATTTGTTTAGCACTCATAATTTTTTTTCTTTTCTGCGTGATTAGTACTTATCATCTATTATGCATAATAGTTGTTTGGAACTTTGTAGTTTGACATTCATCAGAAAAAAAAACAATAATCTACACTAAGCTATTATATGGTGAAAACAAGACTAAAAGGTTAAAAGAAAGAATATTTAATCTTATTCGATACTTATCTTTCTAATCAAAAGTTGACTAGCCAAGATTATTGATAAAAGAAAAATCTACACTATACTTCCTTTCAATGTGACAAGTCATGATGGAAGAGTCCATCCGTGACATCAACTTCCCAAAATGTCTATCAAGCATATGTAACCTAATCTTAGCACATCCACCACAAACCTTAAGTGGCCTGAGTATGTTGTAAGCTGACATTGTTCTTTTATCTTAACACATCCACCACAAAAATATTTGTGTTCATATAAATGAGTTTTTTTTAAATATGTCAAAATTTGAATAATTTCAAGTCTTATAAATTTCAGGAATGTTTTCTAAATCAAATGTGAAATGCAACACTTGGAGATCTATGAAAGTAATTTAGAATTTGCATGAGTTAAATCTTGGATACACTCAATAAATGAGCTATTCATGATTTCAAATTGTTGCACATGCCCATTTAGGGAACAAATTGTCTATCAAACACATATTTTAAATTAGCATTTAAGTCACTCAAAAAATGCAAAATGCTTATAAGTGTATTAACGTATAAAGTTAAGAGTCATATGCTCTAACCAAAATACTTAATGTTTAAATACGAGGTTCGAGAATGTTGCTCGTGCTAATCGGGTCGCCTTGTTTATAGGATAAGGTTGTAAGCTCTACCTCACTAGTCTGATCATTATTTTAGCAAAGACTGGAGTTGATGAGTCTAGTAGTTTTAAAATAAACGTCCAAATCCTGAAATAAGAATTCACAAGTCCAAATCACCAAATTAGTCTGATCATCCTTGTAAGAATAAGAGTCGACGGGACTTATAACTTAAAAGTCTAAACTTATTAAATTAATTACCCTTTCAAATATAAATATTTTAAATGTTGAAACCCTTAATGATGGCCGCGTTGATTGAATATGTCAACCTGATGGATCAATCTTATAAATTAAGATTTTTAAAGTAATCAATTAAAATGTTCAATAAAAATAAATCACTTAAAAGGCTTAAAACAAATCTCATCCACCACCTGCAACAGTTTGTCAAGTGTGACAAATTCTTGACTAATTTCAACTCTTAAAGAGCGAATGTCATATCAAATGTATCAATATATTCACAATTAAAGTAATTGCTTGTCAATAAGGATATGACCCGAGTCTTCTGTCCACATGTTTCTGTTGCCAAATGACACCACAAAATAACGGCTATGATCAGAGCCCTCTGATCGGGGGGTTGCTGCCAATGACAATTTTATATTACAGTCACGACCGCAACCCATATGTTCCCCCAACGGCTTTCTACCCTTTGACTTGTGAATCATTATGGTACAATTGATTGACACAAATTCTTCCGTTAGTTAAGGTTGACTTAAATTTGCCCTTTTAGATAAATATCAACTCCAGATCTATAAGGATCTCTTGGACGACACAACCAATTGCTACTGACAAGAATCCTTCTGTCGGGTTGTGTTGACTACCTCCTCTGATTAAGTAGACTAGAAACCATGACGGTCTGGGATGACGGAAGCATGAGATATTGATCGAGTTTCATCTTCATTCCCCCACAACCCTCTTTAAGCTTTAAGTAATAAATTTTATAATTTAAAATTTTAAGTATGTTGCTATTATATATTGAATATTCAATTCGTAAGGATTAGTCTTAATCGACAGTGCTCTCCCATTCTCGGGAAGGGTAATTAACTATGGGGCTTGTTTCTATGGGAAACCTTGAACCCCAGATCAAAAAGTCATCTCAAAATGAGAGAGAAATCTTTGGGTAATGCCTTAGCTACAACGCCTATGGGAAACCTTAAACCCCATATCAAAAAGTCATCGCAAAATGAGGGAGAAATCTCTAGGTAGTGTCTTATCTGCAATCCAACATGCCTTCTAAAAAACTCTCTGAAACTCTCTCAGTTAATAAAAAATAAAATAAAACGCAGAGAGTCTCTCGAGGAGCGGTCCTGAATTTTTGGAGCCCACATTGGAGAACTCCAATGGCAGACAAGATTACAGTCTCCTTAGATGTTTGGTCATATCTGATGACTCAGTTAGGAGAGTAGATGTTTTAGATTTGACTTATGTTAACAAAGGTAGAGGTAGACTTAAAAAGACTTCGGCATATTGTGTAATAAATGATCTTAGTTTGTTAGAATTAAATGAAACTATAACACTTAATAGGACACTATGGAGAAAAAGGATTCATGTAAGCAACCCCTTTTAGTGGGATAAATGCTTGTTATTTTATTTCTTTTATTCTCATGTGCTCGGTTGGATGTTGATCCCTTAGAGTGCGATGTAAGCTTGACAAACAAGGTCCATTGGAAATCATCCACTTGTATTGGTATCAGAGCTAGATTTTGTTTTTGCTGATTCTTACATTGTTCCCCTTAATCAACATTGTAATTTGATTGTAGTTTTTTCTGGCATGATTGATTTTAGAAAAATTATTTACTAGTTTTCTAATTTGCATATGAATTCCAATTGAATTATGTTTTTTGGTGGCTTCAAATTTATCGAAGAATTTCTTTATTTCAAAAAACTATTTAAATTTCAGTTGGTGGTGGATTTTTTTTTTACCTTGAAGAAAACAAATGTTTGTTTTAATTAGTGGTTTTTTGCAACCGCAAATTTCAATATAATTGTGTGATTTATATTAATTAGGTCATTTAGTTGTATTAGAAACTCTAGAACTTATAGTGTCAAGTAGTTTATTGCTCTAAATTCCTCATAATTGCACAGTGAATAGTGCTGTGTGTCATCCATTTAGTGCAACTTTTCCGCATTGTGATTATAGGACGTGTGCAGGTGTTGAAGCAAGAGGCTTTATCTTTGGCCCGCCAATTGCGCTGGCTATTGGAGCAAAGTTTGTACCTTTGAGAAAACCAAAGAAGTTACCAGGTAAAAGCTTCACTCTTTTAATTTTATTTGTTAGGAGCATTATAGAATTTATATATATATATATGGATGTACGGTAAGGGAAGTATTTCACTATAAATTTCTCATTTTTTCTTTGAAGTGCCCCTGCGCTTTTGCTAAGTCGAGTTCATTTATGTGCTTTGTTGAAACAGTTTTTACCTATACCTTAACTAGTATGAGTAGTGATACAGGAACTAGTAGGGAAAACAGTAGAAACACAAAAGAAAACTTTTATGAATAGGGAAATAGGGTTACAATACAATGCAACAGAAAATATCAACGCAAGCACTAATGACGCAAGCAAACACCTCTGAGGTTGTATTCCAAAGGCGTGGAGATCTGCTAGGTGTAGCAGGATAGTTGGTAGGAGTATTTACTGCAAACACCAGAAAACAGCCACATTACAGTAGAAACACAAAATAGTATTTTCGCCTCCCAAACTGCTGTCCGCCTCCCAAACTGCTGTCCGCCTGCCAACCCTTCTCCTTTCTGTCTTCATCGCGAGGACAGCCCACGCATTGCCTTTCCGCGATTCCAGCCCTCCTTATTGCTGCCATGGCTGACCCAGCCATCCCAACACCCTCCTGCAATCCCCCATTTGCTGTTCAGCCAGCCCCACCCAATTCCAGCTTGCTGCCGCCCCTCCACTGCTTCCAGCTTGCTGCCCTGCCACCCAACCACCTTCCCCTCACTGCCGTTAAGCCTCTCTGCTCCTTTTCCACTACCTCGACATGTAGTCCACCTCCGTCGATTCTCTCCCTAGGGGGACTTTTATATTTGTGTCGTCATTTTCGTATTTCAAGAGTCTTTGTTTGTAATCACTTTTGAGTTTCAACAACATTATTTAGATATCTAATAGTTTGGGTTGACACCGGTATCGTGGTGTCATCTATTTTATGAATGTTTGAATGATTTTGACGGTGGTTGATCTTATTCAAGTTTAATTATTGCTGCTTCATATTTTTGGACATTCGTCCTTCAAACATCTACTTGATTCAACTATTGAAACAGTAACGGATGTCAACAAAGAGGTTGCTTTGCCTTTCTTTATGGATTACATAAAATTTCAACCTTGATGCAGTTTTGGATCTGCTATTTGCCATAGCAATGAAGCAAGACTTGTTTGGTGGTGTTTAAATTATTTGATTTTTTTATTTACTTTTCAATCTTTATTCTATTTTCCCTTTATCTTATACATTAGAGTTTTCAATGATTCACTATAGTTTGATCGCCACATTTAAATAAAATTTAGATATGCTCATTCAAAAATCATGTCACAAAATTTAAAGAAATCCTTCTGTTTTTCCGAAACTTACTGTTTTGAAATTTTGATGGAGAGCTTCTAGTTTTGGTTCATCTTATATGAACCAACATGGAACTAGTCTTATTTTACTAAAGACGTCCATTCTTCTAAATTCAGGGCTCTTAATGATGTGGAAAATTAACCTAATTTTTTATCATTTTCATGTTTTTCACAGGTGAAGTCATTTCAGAGGAGTACTTACTTGAATATGGCACAGATAAAATCGAGATGCATGTCGGTGCCGTTCAGCCTGATGATCGGGCTGTTGTAATTGATGATCTTATTGCAACCGGAGGGACCTTATGTGCTGCAATCAAGCTACTTGGTACTGTACCCATCTTCATTCTGAGATGCATTAATATTGGGGCATTTACATACATGCCACCCAATTTCTATGGTTTTATATATCTAACACCTAAACTTTACTTTTTTTACATTAATACCACCCAAATATTTCATGTCACATAAAAACAGCACCATTTTAACTTATAAAATGTTAAATGCACCTTTTAATGGATAGGTAAGGTGGCATGCATGTAAAATTGAAGTTTTGGTGTTAGATATGTAAATACATAGGAATTGAGTGGTACGTATGTAAATCTTCCTTAATATTTTCAATATCATGCTAATCAGCATCTGCATTTTTTGGGCGAAAGCAGTCTGTGGTATCTAATTTATACAAATGACCTTTTTTAGCCTAGTAAAAATTATATTCTGGATGTCTTTGGTGTCTAGGTAAGGTGGCATGCATGTAAAATTGAAGTTTTGGTGGTAGATATGTAAATACATAGGAATTGAGTGGTACGTATGTAAATCTTCCTTAATATTTTCAATATCATGCTAAGCAGCATCTGCATTTTTTGGGCGAAAGCACTCTTTGGTGTCTAATTTATACAAATGACCTTTTTTAGCCTAGTAAAAAATTATATTCTGGATGTCTGTTGCGGTGTGAAAAATTTTCAAAATAATGTAGGACAATTATATTGACCATATGCTTATTAAAAATCATTTACTGATAATTCTAGCCCATGTGGTAATTAGCTTTGCAACTGTAGATGTGTAAATGAAACTTATAAATATACACGATCATGATGAAATACAATTGTAACTGTAGTGCTTTCTTGTTATTTGCAAGTAGATGTACTTGTGGAAATTTGGCGTGCAAGTCTTTCATATTATGCATTTTTATGCGTTGCCGGTGCCTTTCTATACTTCAATTTTTTTCTTCTACAATTCCACCGGCAGGACAGACATAATATTTATTTTATGGCCATTAACTTGAAGAAATAAAACTGTGTTGGACTATGTTTCCAACACGTTCGTTTCTTGCAAAAAGATTTTTCCCTTTGAATTTGACCTCTAGCTTGATCCTTTTTTCTCTCAAGCTTTGCCAAATGCCAATTTTCTAAGGGCTTGTTCACTTTTATTTTTTTATTTTTGCTTTTATTTTAAAAACTTTTTTGTTTAATGCATTTTTAACATATATATATATGAAAAACAAATTAACTTATTTTTTAAAATATTTTAAGTATTTAAAAATTGTCGTGTATTTTTAAAAGTAACTCAACATATTGTAAAATATCAACTATGTTTTAGTCAAACAAAAATAGGAACAAGATAATATAACAATAAAAAATTAAAAATTAGAAGTGATCCCAATCGACCCCTAAATTTATGATTTTTTCATGTGTGTTTTCTATAAATTGATTCATCTAATTTAAAATTTACTTTATAGAGATTTAATTAAGCTGTGTAGCAATTCTGGAGTGCATAACCATATGTATCTGTATATGATATTTAGGACATTTAATTTTCACACCTTTTCCAGAATTCCATTGATTGTCATTTATTAAAATAGTTATCCATGCGGACTTGTAATGATTTTCTTTGCCACTAAAAGATTTTCTTCATCTGTCTCTATGATGTATTAAATCTTTCGGGTCTTGGAATTCTATACAAATGAAATGAAACAAATTATTAGTTAAATTTCACTATGTAAATACTATCTGTTTACATTATACAAAAGATTATTTCCAGATGATAATTTAAAGATGGATTGAATAAAAAAATTCTGTGAGAAATTTCTAAAAATAAATTTTCACCATTGAAAATTTTCCAGCAATTATAAGACCCAACCAAAATTAAGCTTAAATTAAATAGGAAAAATAAAATACGACAATACAAAATTCAGACCTCTGCTGATATAAAGAATGACCTCCCTAAGAAATTGGTAGTCACACTTGCACCACACTTGAAGAAATCATTATTCAACGAAGCACACATCAGATTAAAGGGTACTAACATTTTTTATTAAGCTCAAGTTTCTTTTACATGCCTTAGATTTTGATACTTAGAAGCATCAATCTATAGAATTGGCTGTCTCATAGTCCATACAATTGAAATTACAAATATATGCTGATTTAAGCAATTACAGCAACAACAACAAGCCTTTATCCAACTAAGTGGAGTCGGCTACATAAATCAATTTTCTTCATTCCGTTTTATTGAGTGTCATATTTTCATTTAATTCTAATAAATTAAGATAATTTTTTGTACAACATGCCGAAGTCTTTTTCGTTATATCTCTACCTTTCTTAACATAAGTCCAATCTAAAACATCTATACTAGTAATTGGGTCATCAGATGGTCGATGTTTAATGTGACCAAATCATCTATGACGACTCTATCTAATTTTTTCTGCCATCGGAGCTATGCCAACCCTGTCACGGATATATTCGTTTTACATTTTATCTCTAAGTGTAAAGCCACTCATCCACCTAAACATTCTCATCTCAGCGACACTTAAATTAGATTTTGGCAATTAGATTCAACAAAATTGCAAATGCTGCTAAATGGGTATGCCTGTTACCACCTCTATAACAACTGAATGCTAAATGAACTGCATAAGCTTTGTGCGCGTTTATCAACAAGACTGACTTCTCTGCCACAGACCCAATAATTAAACAAATCTTAAAATCAGATAAAGTCTAATAGCATCCATACTTAAGAGCATACATCGCTAGAAACCTTGCAGCTTCTATACTTGTTTATTTTATTTTGTTAATATTATTATTATTAATTTTTTTTCATTTTATATCCAGTTGTTGTCCCTCCTAGGCTTTGGACAAGTAGATGTAGTTGCCTTTTTAAGAAAGGTATGGGTAGGGCAAAGTTAGCATGTTTTGAAATAACAAAAACTCAGCTGAAGTTTAATTATCTTGAATGTAGAAGATGAATTTGCAAGCTGAATTTTGTTAGGATTGGCCACTGTTTCCAGTCATGTTAACAAGTTTATTTGGGACTTATGTATTTATATTCTACCATTTTTATTGCGCTCTGCAATTTTGTTTTATTAAGCATTTGGCAATTCTGTGTAATTTATAGAATATTATCTTTTCATATTTGAAGTGCTTAAATGGTAAAGATTGCGGAACCCAAATAGAAGAGATAAGTCTGCTGATAATGATAATGAAATGGTGAAAGCTAATAACTTGAGAAAGATGAGCAGATTTTAGGAATCACATTTCTGCAGTAGTCTGTGGGAAATCTATGTTATTCATAAAATTGATATGAATGTAATGCACAATCCTGTTATTTTTACATAAATAGCACACAATTCTTATGTATTTACAGATCTCCCACCTAAACTTTCATATTTACTCATATAGCACTCAGCTTTGTAATATCACGTAAAAAATGTTACTATTATACCATTTCAAAAAAAAAAGGTACTATCACTTTTAAAAGTGCAATACACCTTTTCATGCATCCATTTAAAGCACCAAAGTGTTATGTACTTAAATATAAAAGTTTAGGTGTGAGATATGTAAATACATAAGAATTGTATGCTCAAATATGTAAATTTACCTTCTTTGGTGCATTTACATCATAGCACACAGTTCTACATAAATTTCTCTTTTTTAATGCACTGTTTATATGGCATTGGTGAAATTTACTCCAATTTGATTGTTCTTCCAGAACGTGTCGGCGCAGAGGTGGTTGAATGTGCTTGCGTCATTGAGCTACCAGAGCTGAAGGTAAGCAATTTACTTCACTTTCTGTACGAAACTCAGTAATCTGAACTTATTTGGGCTGCTGCTTTGTTAGGTTTACGATGCCAACATTGAAGCACTCTAGTACTTTATCTTTTGTAAATTTTATGTTGGTGCTATTTTGGTTTTTTGAAGTTTGATATCTTGTTTTAATAAAAAAAATTAAGTTTGTTAAGACCTTGGCTTTGTAAATCTCCTCAAAATTCCTTCAAAAATTAGGATATAGTTTCACACTTAAAAATTAGTGAAAAGAAAATCTTCATTTTCTAAATTTAATCCATTGTGATTTTTCAAATTACACCAATTTTGAATGTGGATTGAATCCAACCTTCCAAAATGAATCAAACTACTGGGATCCTACAACTCCATCTGTTAAATTATGGGGTAACTTTATATGTTTGGCAGATATCTTCATTTTTGAGGAAGATTTGCATACATAACACTCAATTTCTATGTATTTACATGTAGAACACATAAACTTCAATTTTTACATATATATATATATATATATATATATTAAACTAGATGTTAGATATGAAAATAAATAAGAATTAGGTGGTATGTATGTAAACGCCCCTTTTTTTAATATTCTTTGCCAAGTGTCAGCACAGAATAGTGGCAGGGACAGAACTATAATTTGGAAAATTAGACATCTATTTTGAGGAAGCGACATAAATTGTGACTCAAAAAATAAGAGAAGAAGAGGAAGAAGAAATCTCTATAACAAACATAATTTAACATACAATGTATTTACAGAAAAAATTATGTCCAAATATTCTGACCCATTTTTAAGGAGAGCTTCCAATATTTAACCATGGCATGAAATACATTATTATGTGATTTGAAAATATGACGTGATATGAAACATCTCAAAAACACAAATTGTGTCTTGATAATTTACTATTTTGTTGTAATTTCCCAACAAATATCTTTATGCATTACATTGTTTTGTTAAGTTACTTGGTACTGTGTAAATTTTAATTTGAGGCATTTACATGAGAGTGTGTAAATTGTAGAGTAATTAAGTTGATGTGTCATACTTTAAAATTATGGGAGATGGTAATTGAACATAAGTTAAGACGTATTACAAAGATTTCTCATAATCAGTTTGGATTTATACCGGGCAAGTCTACTATGGAAGCTATAGATTTATTGATAGGTTTGATAGAGAAGTACGAAGAGAATAAGGAGGATTTACATATGATTTTTATTGATTTAGAAAAAGCTTATAATAAGGTTCTAAGAGATATTCTTTGGAGAGTTCTAGAAAGAAAGATGTTGATATGACTCATATTCAAGTCATTAAAGATATGTATACTAGAGTTGTTACTTGTGTTTGAACAGGCGGATTGACCAATTATTTTCCTATTTCAGTTGGATTACATCAGGGACCAACTTTAAGCCTATATATTTTTGCTTTAGTTATAGATGCTCTTACTAAACACTTACAGGAGGATGTACCTTAGTGTAAGCTTTTCGCTGATGATATCCTTCTTGTGGATAAGGCTAGAGAAAAAACTCAGAAAAAACTTGATTTATAGAGGTTTAAATTGAAGTCTAAAGGCCTTCGCTTGAGTAGAACTAAAACTGAATACATGGAATGTAATTTTAGTAGTAGTAGCTCTGGTAACAGGGTTGTAACTATGAGTGATCAAATTATCAAAAGGTGTGAACACTTTAGATATCTCGAGTCTATTCTTCAAAGCTTCAAAGTGATGGTGATATAGATATAGATGGGATGTTATTACTAGATATCAAGTTAGTTGGTTGAAGTGGAGGAATGTTTCGGGCATATTGTGTGATAGAAAAGTGTCGCTTAGATTGAAAGAAATTTTTATAAGATGGTTGTGAGACCTGCAATGCTCTATGGCGCAAAATGTTGGCCTTGAAAAGAGAAGCATAAAATTAAGTGTTGCCAAGATGAGAATGCTTAAGTGGATGAGTGACTTTACACTTAAAGACAAAATGTGAAATGAATATATCCGTCATAGGCATAGGGTTGGTGTAGCTGTCATAGGGTTGGTGTAGCTCCTGTGGCGGACAAACTTAGAAAGAGTCGTCTTAGATGGTTTGGTCGCAATAAACGTCGACCATCTGATGATCCGGTTAGGAACACATCTGTTTTAGATTCTACTTATGTTAAGAATGACAGAGGTAGACGTAGAAAGACTTATGCATATTGTATAAAAAATGATCTAAATTTATTAGAATTAAATATATGTAATTAAGTGGTATGCACGTAAATTCCCCTTATTGTTATAATTGCTGCAGGGTCGGGAGAAATTAGGAGAGAGACCGCTTTTTGTTCTTGTGAACGGAGCTTGACCTGAATCAACTACGGTATGCTAATTCATACACAGCTTCTCACATATCCTCACTGATTGTGATGAAGTGTTCGATTCTAATTTTTGTTTCTTGTTGTATGATTATTATTCCCCGTCTGCATTCCAGATCTTATTATTATTATTATTATTATTATTATTATTATTATTATTACATGCATAAATTTATTTCATTTTATTTTTTAAGCTAATTCTTATTATTTCACTTTAGAAAGCTTTTCATTTAAGAGTTGAATATAAATGATTCATTCATTTATTATTTAGGAAGTTTTACATACATACCACTCAATTCTTATGCAATTGCATAGCTAACACCTTACTAGGGGGTCTAAACAAACCGGACACGAACGAACAGAGCTTGTGTTCGTGTTCGGTTCGTTTTAAATTTAGTTTGTTTGAAATAAGTTTGTTTGAAATGTTTGAAATAAGCTTGTGTTTGAAATTGTTCGTGAAGTCACTGTTCGTGTTCGTTTCTTAACGAACGAGCTAGTTTGACATCTCTAATATTAATGTATAAATAATATATTATATTAGTTATATAAATATATAATATATATTAGTATATTATTAATATAGTACATTAATATATTATTATTATTAATTTATTATATATTATAATTTATAAAATTTATTTTTTTTTTAAATATCAAAATTTTTTAATATATAATTATTTTAAATTATTTTATATTTCTAACAATAATGATTCGAACACGAACGAACGCATCACTGTTCATGTTTGATTCGTTTAACTAACCGAACTAAAAAAATTTGTTCTCGTTCGTCTCATTTACTTATCGAACGAATCAAACACGAGTATTTCGAGTCAAAACAAGTCGAGCATGAATAAACAAATATTTGTTTGTGTTGTTCATGTTTGGTTTGTTAACTTAGCGAACAAGCCGAGCACGAGTTTCTTAACGAGCTGAACACAAGCTATTAGCGAATAGCGAGCCGTTTTGACAGCCCTACATAAGAATTGAGTAGTATGTATACAAAGCTTTCAAAAAATATCTTTTGGACTTGAACTTACATACATGCTAAGCAATTCTTGTGTTTTGTCTCGTCCTAACGCTTAAACTTTCATATTAATATATAACACTCAAAATTGTAACACCACATAAAAGTAGAGGTATTTAGATACATAGAACACAATTCTTATGTATTTACATATCTCAAACCTAAACCTTCATATTTACACATATAGCACTCAAATCCTTAATATCCCAAAATTAGCACTATTATGACTTTTTAAATGTGAAATATATGTTTTCATACACAAAACTTAAAGTATCAAAGTGATATATGTGTAAATATGAAATTTTAAGTGTGAGAATTATGTAAACTTTTTTTAATAAAATATCATTATTATTAACTAATTAAAAGCCAACATGCATTACTGGTACAAATATTGAATTTTCAGTGCTAGATATGTAAATTAATAAGAACTGTATGGTATGTCTGTAAAGAAAAATTATTCCGTGCGGACACCGCATGCAAAGATGCATGCGTTGTCCGATCTCCACCCTTCATCACGGGTTTGGTGGAACCCACTTTCAAATTTTTAAAAAAAAACAAAAAAAAAAAATCTCCCTGAACCCATGATGGACGGTGGAGATCGTACACCACATGCATCTCTGCATGCGGTGTCCGCACGGAATAATTTTTCGCCTGTAAAACTCATTTTAACTAAACATTTAATTTCAATATTCGGAGCCATTTTTCTTCCTTAATTATACAGCAACAGCACAGTTGGAGACAGAGAGACGATCAGTGAGCTTAAAAATCCAATTTGACTTGCTCAAAATTTGTCCTTTTCACCTTTTTCTTTTATTTGACCAACTCTGGTATTATATATATTATATATATAT